CATAACAAAACCTTTATATCGCGAACATATTTCGTAATTAGATAAGGCTGCTTGCAAACACTAATGCGGCTCAACGATTCCCAAAGGTTTTAAAAACCGAGAGCCTCTATATATGGTTTATCATGTTAGAATTTTTCCATTTTTTTCAATATATATTAAAAATTAAATAAAAAACAAATTATATAAAAAAAAAATTTTATATATTAAAAATGTATTAAAATTTATGGCATCGTGTCTCTTTTTCACCATTTGTTATATCATTGCATATATACATACATAATTTATAATTTTTAATAATATTTATTATTCTCTATTATAAATTCAAATGCGGAAAACATAATAATTATATTCAAGCATGTCTATAATAAATGTGTTGAATAATACATGTATTTTATATCTAATTACTGTAGCCATTTCAATAATTATTGCATTAGTTTTATGACGTCAAGCTTTTGAAGAATTAGCGTAATTGTAGAGTATTTGCGTAGGCAACAACTGATTCATATTGTAAAATATTTTTAATAATATCGTGTCAGGTTCCATACATTTTAATGAAATATTGAGAAGCTCACTTGCAAAAGACGTTACGATATTTTGCGACTTGTTAGTCGATATAAACGAGTAGCTGGTAAATATTTTTTTTAATTTTTATTAAATTATGGCAATCAGAATTAAATATTGTTTTATGAGCTACAAAGCTAATTTATAATTAGCAAGTTGTACTAGGGTAAGTCTGGCGACAAGGATATACTTTGACTTTTATTAATTATACTGTGAACCATACCAACTACATCAAAACAAATAACACATTTCAAACAAACAACTATCTAAATATGTTCCATTGTACAAAGGTAAAAAGGGACAACCCTGTCCCACATTTTTTCCTTCAATTTTTCATGTCAAAAAGCCATAGATATATACGTCCATGGTTTTTCACTCAAACCAAACGTGTTGAAAACGTTAAGAGATTTCATGGAACAATAGTTACATTATTTAATCGATTCGATGCAGTTTAATTTTTATGCTGAACAAAATTAAAAATTATTATTTAAATATGGTTATTCAAATAAAATGAACAAAATCTTATCAGCTCTTTGTACAATAAAATATAATGATCACAAAGAAAATGAATACGAATTCTGTTTGAAAAACATATTTTATGGGCACATTTTTCATAAATAACACATTGGATACAACCTTCATATGGAACTTTGTCAAAAAAATACTCTTCAGAGTTGGAGTAATACTTAAATTTTTTTTAATTTATTTTACACATTTATTTGCTAAGAAGCTAGTTCTTATTGTTTACATTTCCATCATAAAGTTTGGGTGTTCTAATTTACACCAGGCACATGTAAGACATTATAGAAATAAAACTTTTCAATGTAACTTAAAAATAACAATGTATGTAATGTAACAATTAAATGAAGTACACTCAAAAGTTATAAGGTATTATTTAGGTATCATACACTAAACAACCGTGCTCAAAAAGCAAAAGACTAACAAGGAAAAAAAATATTTTTGTTAATAATATAGTCAATTTAATTTAAACAATATAAGTCCAACAATTCGTTATTACTTATTATAACATGGGTGAAGTTGGACTAAAGTATTAAAATATTTTGAAACATGTGTCATTTGTAGGTTAGGTTTTAGATGACAAAGACTTTTTGATAGTTTGTGACTACCAACTCATGCGATTAATTAACATGATGGACCGGTAACATAACATAGCTAATTTATTCGATAATTGACTTCTTAGTTTTCCAAAATTCATAAACTTCTAGGAAATGTATAAAACCAAAATCTTTCTTAGCTAATACATCGGCTTCCCTTATTAAGTCTAAAATCTGATGCTGTTAATAGATTTATATCTTTAATTTGATTCAAATTTAGGATAAGTTTCTGAACATTTTGGCATATCTTAGAACAAATGATGTATGTGTGTGTATGTGTATGTGTATGTGTGTGTATGTGTGTGTGTGTATGTGTGTGTGCGGATACAAATTTTTGTCGACGATTTTGAGAACACGGTTCAACCGATTTCAATTATTCATTTATTTCCTCCTTTGAGTAAAATTTCTACTCGATCTCTTTCTATTGCTAATATAACGAACTGCACGTATAAACACAACATCAGAGAGAAGTGAATGTACGCGAATGTGCGCGACTTTCCCGACAATATTATTAAAAGGAAAGATTCATATAACTAAGTTTCCGAAATTCTTTTGCGCCCAGGGACACATTTAATGATCTCTCTAGTAACGGAAAAGTGTTTATCTTCGTTATTCCTGTTCTGTGACATATGAAGCCTCGTGTCGCTCTGTTGAGTTGAATAACGACCAAATGTTATAAGTGATACAAAAATAGGATATTATTGTTTTATGCTGTAATATAATGCTTGAACATCAACAGTAAGAGAAATTGTACGTGGATATTTTATGACTTGTAGCTGCTCACAGGACCGAAAATAGATTGTTGTTTGTTTTGAAGGTAAATGAACTATATATTGATATTGATTCAATTCGAATCATACTACAAAAACTATACTACTCAACAAACTAATTATTAATAATATTTTAAAAGAGATACCCGTAGAATGGAGCTATGGACTTCTAATCAGAAGTTCCTGGCTCGATACCCTCATTGAGTAAACGTTTCCAATTCAAAATAGTCCCCTCTTAGTTTCTAATGAAATAGTTATCAATATTGGGTTATTCTAATAATAAATTCTTCAAGTAGAGGTCAACAATAGGAATCCCTTCTCGAAAACCATGTTATTAGGAAGTCATCACAATAAGCTTATAGGAGTATTAAGCACTGATTGCTGTTAATAATAAATGAATAAAAAATATTTTAAAGGTATCATCAATTATATTTAGGTGAGTGCTATAGCATCTTGCAATTAACACGTCAATAGCCATGTCAGTCATATGTGTATGACGCTAAGAAGTTCAGAAGAAGTCAGAGAAATATGTCTGACATACGCAATTTGATAGAAAAAAAAGTTTTAATATAGCTATATAATTTTAATATATGAATATTCAATAAGCACCATCTGCATCAATAATGATAACGTTATTACCTCAATGTCCATCTTTCATACGTGAGTAATCAATCATTTGGTGGATTAATAATTTTGATTAATAATCTTATCAATTCCAAATATGCTGAATTATATGCGATTTGAGTCACTGTGTATGATTAATAGTTTTGTTATTTTATGATTCATAGAAATCACAATTGTGGTATATTTATAGTTTTGTTACATGATATTTACTGTTTATAATATCAAAAATATGTGCAGTCATAAAAACATAAGGAATGATCTGAAAACATATATAGAGGCATTTCATTTTCACAAATGATAAAAATAATGTCATTATATCTCTAAGGTGTGTCGTGCACTTATTTTTTTATTGAGCTTTTCATATCAAAATTTGAAGATAATGTAATTCAAATAACGATTTGGTTATTTTTACACGTATTTGATATATATTCAAGCCTAATTCCATGGTGCTATATTGCATTATAATTAGCCCTTTTCAATCGCGAATTTCGAGATTTATATGATGCCGCAGGAGCGGCGGCATCCGAGTAAAAAGGGTTGATACTTTGTAGAAGAATTACTGACAAGAAATTTGAATTGAATTTGAATTTATATATATGTATATGTGTGTGTATTGATTTTTTTGAGAAAATGATTAAATAGCATGTGCACCATTTTTTATATCTTATTATAGAAACAAAAAGAATCTTATTATTAATATTTTTATTTATTTTGATATTATTACATACTAAACTATTACTTAATAAGTACAAAATATTCACTGACTTTTTAAGATTAAAAAATTTCAGGAGTCTTTCAGAAAGGAAATGAATTCTAAACTTGATATTCTAGTAGGATTAAAATAAAAATAAGTACAAAATACATAATTATATCAAAATATAATTAATATTTAATAAAAGATACTAACATTATAAAAATAAATTTTACTCAATGTAAGATTTTAAAGTGGGATTGAAATCGAAAAATATGAATAATAATAAATCAACTGAAATAAGTATCTCAGTTGAAATTAAAATACTAATTAGTAAAAATGACCGATAGAAAAAACTTGGCAAAGATCATGTAATTCGAATAATGGAGACTGTATTCAAAAACTTAACAAACGCCCTGAAACGAAATTGAAAGATATGCGAAACAATAGAGTGACTAATTATATTATTATTTAATCCATAATTAAAGTTTTTTGTTATAATTATATTGAAAACTACAAATCAAAATAAAAACAAATTCTTCAATATAAAGAGTAACAAAAACAATTGTGTGGTGGATTATTTATATTTCTATTAAGATTGTCATTAAATCTTATTATTTCTGTATTAATTGCACGGAAACCACAAATTTAATTGTTTATTATGTTTACAACTGTCTAGTTAAGGGCATTTAGTAAATTTGTGTAATTTACAATTGTCAGCCGTGAAAGAATATTGTATACTATAGTGACATGTTGGTGAAACAACTCAATAGGTGTTTTTCCATCCGTTATAAATAATATTAACAATATTTTAATGATATTAATATAAACTTAACTATTTACTTATAAATAATTTCTTATAAATAATAACTAAGTTATTTCAATCTTATCAGGAAAATTGATGACTTAAACCAAGTGGTGATTTTCTCTTCAATCATTCATCTGTTATTCACGAGTTTGCTAGTGAATTATATTAAATGTTGATGAATTTTTCTGCTTAAATATATAAAGGAGCAAATATTCTGCTAACTGAAGCTGCTAGTGAGCAGAAATTGATCAATACAAAATTTAGTTGATCAAAGTCCTTTCTGTCGAGTCTTTAACTATCATATTCTCTAAGTACCTACTAAATTCTGTATTGATCAGTAGTTCAGTGAGCAAGTTTGACGTCCGAAATTATAATATGCGTCAATTTAATTAATTATTAACATTAATTATGGTTCGTCTGTTAATTTTCAGGCGGAAATCCGCTTTGCAAGATGTTGCCGTTAAGCCCATAACGCAGTTTCCCGTGACGCTCAGCTACGAGGTAAGCACATGTCATGCGATTTCTCAACGGGCCAAACGAAAAATAGATTTTGTATATAAAATATGAAAAGAGTGGATTTGGGTTGCGAATTTATGTATATACCGAAAATAAGAACACTTCTATATTATGGCTTGCTTTGGCTATGTATATATTATTTTCTGTATTATTTATGTATCGGGGTAAATGATAATTTGAAACCAAGACTTTTACTAATAATTTTATTTAGTTTTAGATTTTTTTTCAATTATTTTAATAGTCGGATATGGAATATTTGCGAACACGTTAACGTTTTTCTTTATACACATAAATCGAA